TGGAGAGCTGCGATCGATTCGATCGACCGTCTCTAAACGAAAACTGTTACGACGACTCGCGTACTTGGGAAAGAAAGAAACCCAAACAGACTTATTATTGATGGCCAAAGGCATGAACTATTTCTTCTGTCTTGATCTGGTTCTACAATGCGGGGTCACATAGAATGAGGGGCAAAAGTGTCTTTTTATGTGCAATCTAACACGAGATGAAGAAGATGAAAGTGTCGTAAATAGAATCCACGAGAGTATAAAATTTAGACACGGTAATAGATAAGGAAGAAAAAAAATCAGTGTCTAATAGGGAAATGAAATTTAAGACGGGTGTTAAGGAATTCTTTCGTTATTAAATTATTAGTTTGGGCAAACGTATAGTAGTGCTGAATTTCTTTCGGAAGATGTAGAGCAAAGATTGAGCTAGCTATCGCAGCCACGATCTATTATTACTCCGACCCGTCGCTGGGCTCCGAGTCGCGACAGGCCCCCGTTAACCTGTTATAGTATCTAGCTCGGATCTCGTGAGCGATCCTTTCAATCATATACAGTACGAATACAGTACGAGCAGTAAACTAGTTCCAAACACGACAGGTGAAGAGCCCTACTCGTACTCCATCGATCGATACTCCAAATTAAACCGCGCCTGCAGATTCCCACCGCAGGATCGATCGATCGACCATGAACCGTTTGTGGTGCTCGCTCTCCCGGATGCTCCGTCGCTCGGCCGCCCCGCAGCGCCTGCTTCACTGGTGTTCTTCTTCTGTCCCCCGCGTCACGCTCACGCCTGCTCTACTCCGCCGTCCACCGCCGACTCTGCTTCGCCGGCGGTTCCGTTGGTACCACGACCCTCGGAAGGCCACGGCGGCGACGGCCGTCGGCTTGGGCGCCGCGGCGCTGGCCGCCTGCGAGGTCGTACCCTGCACCAACCGCTACCACCTCGTCGTCTACTCCCACCAGGGGGAGCGCGACCTTGGCGACTCCCTATACGCCGCCGAGTTGAAGTCCATCCACAGGCATAGGATGGTCGACCCACACCATCCGGATAGCATCCGCGTCCGTCGCATCGCCGACAGAATCATCCACGCCGCCAACCGCGGCCTCGGCATCTACGACAGCCGTGACGCCCCCTTGCTCCGCGTCACCCGCAAAGGGAAGAAGCCGTGGGCGCCGCAGCCGCACACGAGGCACCTCCATGGGCTCAACGGCAGCTGGGAGCTGGTCCTTGCCAGGCATACTTCCGCCGATGCCATGTACGCGCCCGGAGGCAAGCTTTTAGTGTTCACAGGACTGCTCGACTGCTTTAAGACCGATGGCGAGATCGCCTTCGCTCTTGCGCATGAGGTACGCTATCTACCCACGCACGCACCACCCTAGGTTTATTTTCTGCCCCCTCCGTAGACAAATGTAAGACGTTCTGACTGCCGAAACGTGTTACATTTTTTTACCGAGGGAGTAATTCACTAGATGACATCTCGCCTGCGTGTTGCATTGGATATTACTATACGTAGGAGTATATATGAAGCAAACGATTGTATGGATCTTTGATCAACATTGTTCATTCTTCTGCAACACTTCGACGCAAACAAGTTGTGTTGCTGAAGTCTGTCGCCCTTTGCTGGTAATCCTGGAATTGGTCTTTTTTCGTTTCTTTGTTCTAGTTTCGTTTAGTAGTGAACCAAGTTCGCTGTAAAACTAAGACCATGTGGTTTCATTATATGAAATCGGAGGGGAGGCCTCCCTTTTTTGCTCCCCCCAAAAAAACCATCCAACAAGTAGCACCCAAATGTTTGATGCCATTGCGAGTCGCTTTAATTTCAGTTGAGTCTACGTTTAGTTATGGAGTATTCGAGTTCCAACCTGATGAGATGTTGTTGTCATGTCCGTAATTTTATTTTATTTTTGAGAAAAGTATGTTTTTGGTCCCTCAAGTTTCCACAAAGTATAGGCTTGGTCCCTTAAGATTATTTGGTATACATTTGGTCCCTCAAGTCTCAAAACCGGATAAGTTTGGTCCTAAACCAGATTTTGAACACGTTGACCGGTTTTGACCGCCACAAAACCGCCTGATGAACAGTAAATTCGAAAAAGAATCTTCAAAAAATCCTGAAATTTT